CCCAACACAAATACACAACGCTGCCTGTACCCCAACACAAATACACAACGCTGCCTGTACCCCAACACAAATACACAACGCTGCCTGTACCCCAACACAAATACACAACGCTACCTGTATTGCCAGCCAACAATACAGTAACAAAAACCAACTGTGCTTTGAAATATAAGAAAATAAATAATCAGAAGCCGCTGATAAAACAAGCATGTGCATGTTTATGTGCGTATATCAATATGTACATATTTACTGACTGTGTTGTTTTAGGTACCCTTTAAAAACATTGACAGTTTGAGGCAGATGACATTCACGGTTTACACGTCTGCGTGAAAAATGGGGGAGTCTTGTGAGAGAGATGTCACAGCAGCACGAAACAGTCTGTGTGCCCCCCTTGCCTGGAGGGGTGCTGTCGGTGGGGGTCTGTACTGGAATCGGAGGATGCCTTTTGCGGTCTCAGGATTACATAACCTGTCCGTGACTAAAAGCTGATCAGTTATTCTTCTTAAATATGTTGCACTCGTTAATCAGGTATGATGAATACAACTGACTACAGAAACGTGTTACTATTAGTTAAACTACAGTTAAACTAGATTTAACTGAATCATCCTCTCGCATGTATGAGAGCTGCCACATGCAGGTTGTTCTCTTGTATATTTTTATAGTATTTTTGCAGACTATAGGGAGCAACACTTTGCTGAAGCTGACAATCCCTGCCAGTGTTGTTAATAATAAAAGCAAGCAGATATGTGACTCAGTGTCTCTGTTTCGAACCTCTTACCCTCTCGTTCTCTGTTTCTGTTCCTCAAGCATAACAGCTGGCATTAGACGGCTGGCCTGTGAAGGATCATGTCATGTGACTGCTCACATGTCATGTGACTTGGATGGTCCTTTTGCCCGGCTTGCCCTGCAGCTCCGCCCCAGCTCCTATCTAGACCCACCCATTTGCATAAAGCCCCTCCCAGAAGTGCAGGTCATTGGCACAAGAAACTGTAACCTGACCACAATTTCTCACTGGTTCCTCTTAGGATGAGAGCTTTTGTCCTCCAGTAGGTGGAAGAACAGAAGTCGCTGTGCGTCTGAGCTTGTGGGCTCGCATGTTTGCACGTGTTTGCGCGTGTGCGTGCGGTAAACACGGTCACGTGGGTGTCAGGCTTTGAAGAACGTGAGGCGGAGGGTGAGTGTGTGCGGGGAGTGTGCAAGCACCTCAGCTGTCCAAAGGTGTGGCGGGCAACTGAAGCTAACGGCTCATAAATCCCGCATGTCAAGGGGGGGTCGCACCTATGTGATGGGGACTGTGTGTGTGTGTGTGTGGGGGGGGGAGGTGGGGGCAGACGCGCGGGGTTGTGGATGGGACATTAGAGTGTTGCGTCTCCCGGAGCTCACATGCTCGGGGACGAGGGACCCCTACAGGTGGAGAGGATCGACGCGATGGAGACGGACAGTCGTGGGTACGTGTTGTGATGGGGCAGCCGCTACCACAGACGCTGGAGACGTAAATCTCGTAGGGCTGATCGAGACAACGAGCCAACGAACCGGGGGGATTTCGGGGGGGCTTTTGCACACCTCCGGGCATTTTAATTGCCAGGCGCTGCTCTGTTCCTGCCCGAACATCCCTTCTTCCTCATCATAGGCCAGGAGGGGCCTGCGTTTCCAAGTCGGAGGACAGGGAGCCTGGATTCAGGGCCCTGAAACCGCGGCACAGGATGGACGAGCGGAAGAATCTTCCTTGTGAGGAGGGCATCTCAGGGGGTATTTCTTAACGCTGGCGCCAAATCAGGGCACCAACACCGAAGCTTACTGCTTGCTTGTGATTAGATGGTTTTATCAGTTTATTCGCATGCATATTTCAAAGCTGATCCCAAAGCTGCAGGTGAAGGAACGCAATAAGCTCTTCAAATAGCGGCGTAAATGCGACGCCCACCATGAATCAGACGTCTAATGCCTCATCCGTGCAGGCGGGCCAGACCCCTGGAAGCAGTGTGTGGCTGACCTCGCTGCTGGGCGCCGCCCTGCTGGCCATGTGCGTGCTGGGCATAGTGGGGAACGTGTACACTCTGGCGGTGACGCGCTCCGCGGCCGTGCGCCGCGCCGGCTCCATGTACGTGTACATCCTGAACCTGGCACTGGCCGACCTGCTGTACCTCTCCACCATCCCCTTCGTGGTGGTCACCTACTTCGCCCGCGACTGGCTGTTCGGTGAGGCGGGCTGCCGCGTGCTACTCAGCCTGGACCTGCTCACCATGCACGCCAGCGTCTTGGTGCTGGCCGCCATGAGCCTGGAGCGGTACCGCGCCGTGGCCCGGCCCTTCAGCGCCCGCCACTCCTCCACCCGGCACCGCAGGCTGGTGGCTCTGGCCATCTGGGCCGCCTCCTTCTTCCTGACGCTGCCCATGATGGTCATGATCCGGCTCCGTGACGGCAAACCGGGCCCGACCGGCCAGGCCAAGCGCATCTGCTTCCCCACCTGGACTCCTGACGCCTTCAAGGCTTACCTTCTCATCCTCTTCTTCACCAGCGTCCTCGGACCCGGCCTGCTCATCGTCGGCCTTTACGCCGGTCTGGCCAGACGGTACTTAGCGGCCCAGTCGAATTCGGTGGCCGGCAGTCGCTCGGCGCGGAGTCGAGGCCTAAAACAGAAGGTGGTCTCCATGATATTCTGCATCATCCTGGCCTACTGGGCCTGCTTCCTGCCCTTCTGGGCCTGGCAGCTGGCCAAACTCTTCTCTCCCGGCCCTCTCCGGGCCCTGTCCCCGACCACTCACACCTACGTCAACTTCCTCGTTACCTGCCTCACCTACGGCAACAGCTGCGTGAACCCACTGCTGTACACGTTGCTCACCCGCAGTTACAAGGACTACCTGGCCCAGAAGGGTCAGCCGTCAGGAACCAGCTGGGGGGACGCGGTCGGGCCAGCGGGGGGCGCGGCAGTGTGACGCCCTTCGACTGGCTGTCAAGGCCGCCCCTGCGTTTGCTCCACATCCAATAAAACATGTCTAGTTGCATGACTTGTGTCGTTAGTAAAAACTGTAAGAAAAAAATCTGGAAAAAAAATGCAGAGCTGAGGTTCAGCACCTCTTCTCACAGAGCTGTCAGCCCCTGCAGCCCACAGCGCTGACAAGCAGGCGAGCGAGAGCAGAGGCTCATTTCTGGCATCAAGAAAATTGCCTCCAAAAAGGGAATCCTTAAAAAAATAACACTAAACCTCGGTATCTTGGTATCCTATGGCAAATTACTGCGCATGAGTCTGATTGGAAGCTGATGCTGTTTGGGGTGCGGGGTGAGAAGATTCTGAGTTCACGTTCGTCACACGGTCTCTATGACCTATTGCAGCTTTGGAAGCAAACGTTCGGTTGCCAAACTGTCATCTTTACATTTCTGTCGGTGTCTGAATCCGGAATGCATAAAGGATGAAAACTGGAGCATCATGGGTAGGTTTTATGAGTATGCCAGTAGTGGGTGAATCAAGTTATTCCACATAAACAGAAACTGCCATCAGTATGAGAAAACGACGACATTGATGCAATTTCTGACTCATCACTGTGGCTTGGCTGTCGCGCTTGTGTATGTTTGCCACTCACTGCAACCTCTATTCGCTTTCTGCCTTGTTTTATGGCTTCGTATTAGCGGGGCAGCGTGAATCATATTAGCGGGGCATGAATCATATCCTGAAGATCGCTAGTTCATGTCCCAGACGTAACACCTGCAGGGTTTAGCACCCTTGAACAAAATACCGATCCTGAACTGATCCGGTTAAATGCCAAACAGGACGAATGTGAGGGTATGCAGCTAAAAAGGTTATTAATTTTATTTTTCTGGTGCACATTCCTGTCACAGTGTGGGAATAAATGGCTTAAATGAAAGTTTTTTTTTTAGTCTTTTTGGTTTTCTGAGAGTGTTCCTTTTTAACTTTAACTTTCATGAATAGTATTTTTTTTTAAATAAAAGTTTTGGAATTTCAGAATACCGAACAAACTCCCTTGAATGGGGGGGGGGGGGGGATTGAAATAATATTACAAATCAGACAGCTGGAGAACAGAGCTGATTGTAAGCACCATCTGTCCACTGTGCATGTTGTTTTTCTGGACATGTTTACTATGTTGTTTATCAGTTGTTTTGTAAGCAGGGGCTGCCAAATAAATAAGGATGATATTAAAACACAATGCAGAATAAGCAAGTAATTAAAAGCGCAGCCCTCCGCTGGACAGCGTGGTTTCAGATTTAATATGCCGGCCCTCCTTCCCGTCACGTTTGCCGCTTTGGCTTTAGAAACGTTATAAGCAGACAGAGGGAAACTACAAATACAAATATTTTAATTATGGCTTTGCTGGAGACAAAACCATCTGCAGTACCAGATCTGACAGCAGTAATTGTAACTGTAGTTTGTGATCATAAATGCCACGCTTGTCTTCCTCTTACGGGCTACCAGTGGGAGGTCTGTTCAAAAGAGGTTTCTTCATTCTTGTTTTTATGTAATATTCCTGAGTTTTTTACTGAGTTTTTTAGTACCTAATAATTTATTAATAATCCACTTTTGTTCATTTGCTTATTTGCTGTTCTTACTCGTGTGTGATTGTGTAATCTTTGCACTTGTGCTTAATTTGGATTAACACTTTCTTGTACAGCAATGGTCCGGTGGTTTTCTTGTGAATAGTGAATTGAAATTGAATTGAATTTTTTTAAAGACCCATGGCAGAGTTTACAGGGGATCAAAGTCAAAGCCAAATTAAAGTAATACAAACAGAATTCTACAATGCCTACAATGGATTTTGTTGGCCCGCAAACCCATTGGTCCCCACCAGGAAAATGCCTGGTATGCCAGATTGGCAGTCCTGCCCCACCCTGCCCCACCCTGCCCTCACAGGCTAGGGAGAGCTCTGCTGTACCCCGGGAATGTCTCCTCAGGCCGTGACATTCCTTGGCTGGGGGGCTCCCGGCTTGGTGTTGCGTTGCGAATTGCCCAGCGGGATGCCGCGCCTACCTGCCTGGGCACTACACACTGGGTGAGGAGAAGAGCGGCCATCTCACCATGTGCCACCTATAGGACGGATATGAAGGCATCAGGGGCAGAAGCATCTCAATGACACATGGTCTCTGTTCCAGAAATGTCATCTGTATCGATCATTTCAAATAATGTCTTTTTTCCTGGTATTATTTCCATCAAATTAACATCATATTGCTTTAAAGACAGTGAAACTAAGGGTCTGCATCTTTATTTTCCTGTAATACTTTTTTAATAATTAATAGTCCGCAGATGAGTAGTTATGGATGGATGGATGGATGGATGGATGCAGGGGTGCTGCTAGAGATGTTTTAGGACCCCTGGACAGATGGATGGATCAGTCTGAACTCCAGACAGTGAGATCATTCAGGCAGACCTACTGAATCTGATGAGATGGTGGTGACTAACAGCCATAAGAGTCTGTAGACATGGCTGGTGTGTACAGGAGCTGCTAAGATGGTGGTGAGCAAAGCATAATGGAGCTGGACACTGGATTCTGCAAAATACAATGAAGTACAACCACAACTTCAGCTAGAAGGCAGTGAACAGCAAACTGCAGGAAGTCGTCATTTTACTGAAGTGCTTTTCGCACATTTGGCTTCCAACACATTTGAATGGGAACACAACCACTATTCCAGTCTGCTGAGACGGTGCAGGATAACAATTTTGTCTTAATAGATGTGGATGGCAAGAAGGATTGGAATGTATTATGGGGTGCCTGCTTGGCATAGAGCTAAGTCTTGAGCAGTGGCAAGATGCCATCCTGGGGTGGGTGTTTGGATATGTTGGGTTGGCACCAAAAAGTTGTTGACTGGGGGGTGGTAAAAGTTATTAATGTAGTAGTTTTGCAATTATATTGCAATTAAATGACTGGTTACATTTGGTGTGTCTCTGTTGGCTCGGCAGACATTCCATTTAGTTGGGCACTGCCAAACCCCCTGCTCACCCACAGCCACACCCCCGGCTGGAGTTTATTCCAAGAAGCACAGGGCACGAGGCAGGGGACACCCTGGATGGGATGCCAGTCCATCACAGGGCATACACTCACATACTCTGGGACATTTAGACAGGCCAATTCACCTCGTTGCACTATTTTCGACTGCCGGAGCAACCAGAACTGGGAGGAGACCCATGTGATCATGAGAACTTCACACACACACACACACACACACACACACAGCCTGGAGAAGGAATCCAACCTCCTACTTGGGAGGTGTGAGATCATAGTGCTTACTTAAGGAGCTACAGTATCATAGCTATGTTTAATTTGATAAGAAAATATTGTATTATTTATGGAATCAGTATGTAGAGCACTTCCCTGCAAGTAAACAGCCCATGTTACCATCCTAATGCAAAGTGCTGTTACCACCTCCTGAAGGGAGGGGCCACGTCCTGAAGTAAAAGGTATATCTGTGAGACGCGAGATGGAACATCGCTGCTCTGATACAAAGCTTTGTCTGTTTCCATGGTTACCCGCCAATAACGAAGGTGTTTTGACGTATTTCGTCCTTCTGTCTCCATGTTCTCGTATCGCTGGACACTTCCCACTCACACCCTAACCCACACATTATACTGTCTGCCTGGGGTTGTGTGAGCCATGCCACACGGGACAGAACCATACGACAGGTGTGTGGGGGGGGGGGTTAATGACTTTACCTGAGTGCAGGAATGCAGATGGGTTTAATAAAACTATGGGGGGAGTGACTACAATAACAGCTGTGACAGGTTCGACGCACGGCCGGCACAAAGGGTTTTAATCGGATACTCAGCACTGGCACAGGTGAGGTAATGAATGGGCTGTCTGCTTTGCCCCCCACATGAATTTCATTTGGAAATTACCTGCTCCGACTATTACTACTGTGCCAGTGCTAAAGGCCTCACTGAGGTGTTTTCAGGTTGCTGCCACTGGAGTGATTTCTGTGGTCTGAGTCTCATCATGGCCAAACAACTGCGGGGTCGCCAAGCGCCTGACCCTGTGATGTAAGATTGGAGTACATGGGGGGCCAGTATAGCCCTTAGCACAGCCATAGATGAAGACATTTCTACAGTTATTACGGTAATTTCCTGTCCCGTTGGCTGAGGAACACTGTACAGCAAAAGGTCTCCATCTCATTCCTGGTCTTCGACCTGTAATTAGTGGTTGTGCTTCACCACTCTCATGGTGGAAATAAATATTATTATATTGAAACATTTTCAGAAATTGTCTGCTATATAGAATTATGTATTTCATTATTTAACACCAGGTTTTACCACATGTTTTGCTGGGATGGAGCATTTCCTACTGAGGTTAAGAAGATCCACATTAGTGCCGCAATAATAGTGACACTATGCATTCTTTCGTATAGATGATGTATAAGTATGTGGACCAATATGTAACTTTACCATCCCAAAGCAGTCTAATACTCCCACAAAGTAACAAGCTTGTTTTTGGTAGATGGCACATTTGAAGTGCCTTTTTGGTTCTAGAACTTTTTAACTTTCCAATTAAATATCATCTGATTCAAACAAGAAAATGAATATCAATATTTATAAAAGGCTGAACCATCAGAACGGTTTGCTGTGTTGAATATACAGACAAATCTGCATACCTGAGTCTGCAAAATGAAACCAGGCATTACCACTGATTCTGGACCAAAAGCAACAAACAGCAAAGTGCTGTGAGGTTTATTAAAGCATCTGAAATGTCAAAATGATTTTGATACTTTCGGGTTCAAATATTTTCAGAAGAACCGGGAAAAAACAGCTGCGATTCCAACCCGGCGAAGATGTGCAGGTTCACAGCGTTTTGTACAAACAGAAGGAACACGTGGTATAGTGACGAGCGTAATTGTGATGTCAAAATTAAGCATCATGATGAAGTTTCACAGGATAGGGCACAGATCTCAGCCAATAAGCAGCCAGACAGGGCAGATCCAGTGCCTGTAGATTTGCTTAGTTAATCTTGAAGCCCTTAATTTTGACATCCCCCAGTACTTCAATATACATGAACTTGTCTTCACCAAAACGATTGGGGAATAACACAGTGTGGTCGCCAGGCATCTTGACATGAAATTCATCACTGTTGTAGTTGATGGTCACCTGGAAGAAAAAAGGATGAAAATAAAAAATGATGTGAGGTTGAAGAAGATTGCTGAAGGTTGAAGAAGATTGCTGATTCAACAACACGCTTTTGTGATAACCTAAAAGCCAGTGGTACAGTGACAAACGATGGTCTTGTTACTCCAAGACTTTAGGTTCAGACCCTACTGTGAGTCCTTGGCTTTGGGTCATTAATGGAATTTGTACTTCGTGAAAAAATAGATTAAAGATTAAACGATGCAATGTTTATTTGTAACCACTAGAGGTCAGAATGATACCATGACGCTCCAAGGATTCAGCAGGTTGTTTTTTCCTTGAGGAATAGTTTGGTATCTACAAGAGCCAGGCACAATATGCTATTCTATTCTACATGCTGTCTTT